TGTCGATCGGTCAGTGTTGTTAACTACACTTGCTCAACAGGGTATGCCCCAGAAGTCAATGAACTAATCCGTCCACTTGCTCAACAGGGTATGCCCCAGAAGTCAATGAACATAATCCGTCCCGTATATTCACACACTTCTAGGTCCGTGAGAATATATGGTGAGCTCTCCAAAAGCTTACCTACAAAAAGTGGTGTCAGACAAAGACGTCCACTTTTTCCATTCTTGTTCAACTCCATCATTGATGAAATAATGGGACGAACGCTGGATGGTCTTCAAAACCCCGGTGTTCAAATTGTTGCTGGCAAGAGGCCTGTCGATTTGGAATACGCAGATGACATTGCCCTCATTTTTGGAGACCAAAACGAAGCACAAGCCCTGTTGAATAGACCGACCACCGTCATATCATCTTTCGGCATTCGCCTTGCAACTTCAAAGTGCGATGTCATGCTTCGGAGGTTCAGACCCTGTACACAGCCATTGCAATTCAAGAACTGTAGCTATGCCTGTACCCACATGCTTGACTGTTCAGCTCACAGTACTCACTGGATCACGAGACCGTCTTTTTTACACTCACAATCTACGTTGCGTAAAGGTAACTCATTTGACATTGATTGTACCGTCTAGTAAGCGTAGCAACAACTCATGTGCTGACACACCCACGTACACAAAAACGGACTTACATATAGGAAGACCGAACACAAGCAACACACAGACGCGCGCGCGCAGGGAGAAGGAAGTCAACCACTTTCCACAGGTCCACGGACAATTACTGAAAACGTGTAGCAGCTGTACGTTCCAGCTGTCCGGGCTTCCACCAAGGAACTCTCACAAACGATAACTTCCTCTTTTGACTTGCTCCACATTTCGCATTGCATTTATTTTTATACGTGCTGCAACTCACCACTGCCAACCATAGTAAAAACTTTTATTAGTGCATATACCTTCTGAATTATACTATGGCTACCATAATTGTGCACTAATAGAACCACTGGAGGTTATGGAGAATTTCGCATACCTCGTTCGTTGTATTAGCTCTGACGTAAGTGTGTCTGATCAAGTCAGTGCACGAATCTCAAAGTCCAAAATTAAGTTTTCTAATTTGCCTCACTTGTGGCGTCAAAAATGCATGTCACTGGACCATGAGGGTTTCGTCTACCAGGCTAGAATAAGGGCTTTGTTGTTGCGGACAAACGATGTGACTTCAGGTTTTTTACCACGGATGCCTCAGATGGCGTCAACGGATTAGTAACGAGGTGGTTAGAAAACTGGTATTTAGTTATGCTGTAGGTACTTCAATCGCGAAAACATCCAGCACCATCGACTACAATGGCTCGACCGTGTTCTACGAATTCCGAGACACCGTCTACCGAGAGGAGTGTTGTTCTTCGTGGCTCCCTCAAAATGGCGTAAAACGCGAGGTGGACAATGTATGGCAAAACAGTAGACCGCTTTGGGTTGGCAACTGTCTGCTCTTCTGATGGGAATCCCGGTATTCAATTAATTAGATTTTAGTGGCACTGTTAGGCATGGTTTATTCATGCAACTAGTGGTGTTCCTGCATCAAAGCCATCGTCACCAACACGTAGCTGTTCCGTCCATAGTCTCTTCCTACAACCAGAGTGATCCAACATCGAATTAGTGATTATCCCATTGCATTCAATGCATGCATGAAACGAGGTCCCATTGACAGTTTCTGTGACTGAACCTGTCGCCACTGGAACCAAAGTACCCTTGTGAATTGATTTGCAGTTAATAAATGTAGCTTAACTGAACGGCAATTCGGAGACTGGCTGATCGAAGACAGTCAGCTCAAGAATAGGATCAGTGGTGTGGGGCGAGATGGCTCAGTGGTTATAGCACGAACTTACTGACCGGAAGATCCGTGGTTCGAACCAGACCTCTGCCTCTCGACTTCCCCTGTCTAGGTTTGGGCAACCTAGCAGTATTCCAGCCCTCGTGGTGGCATGGCAGTTAGGCACCGAAAGTGTTACAGCTGAATGGTTATCAAATGTCGTGTATTGGACTGCGAAGAATTAATCTCGATATCAAAATTTGAATCGCTATTTCCTCTTTAGTGTCTTCATCAGCTGCTATACAATCTCAGAGGTAAGAAAGGCCATCAACAACTTAACTCCGCACAGCCCAAGCTCGGAACAGGTATGGACTGAGGCCAATTCCTAAGTAGAATTCCATATTCGGAGAGGAAAGACACGTACCACACGGTGTAACTTCGGTCATTAGCTTGTTTTGCACATACCGTAGCTGGTTGGCACAATCATCAGTGTGCAACTTTGAAGGAGTTCGGCGCCCGTAGCAGTTTGATGGCTGGTTACTCTTCAGCCATGTCCTACAACACTGAGGACAACAAAGGACGGTAAATGCTTAGCTAACTCACCCCGTTATGGTACTGGACCTTCGAATGAGAATAAACTGCTACAGCATTCTCACGTGACTGCGCCAACACCATGGTGGACCTGACATTTTTTCATGCGAAATTGAATTACACGCCGCACTGAGCTTATAAGCAGCCGATTAAGAGTGACAAAGCCAAACAAATGACAGAGGAGTAGCTTCTAAACAACCGTCACAATGTAGAAATGCAAATTGGAGTGAAGGTAACTGTAATCAGCTATTCCGTCGATCAGCAATAATTTCATGAGGGGATAAGCGACACGGAAATCGGTCTTAGTTCGTCCGCTGAGACGGATTCGCAGCCTTCGGAACTAGAGCGGCCAGAGTACTTAAGAGTTGGGTGGATAAACTCCGAATAATAACGACAAGCTTAAGTACGTGGCATGCACATTGGCATTAAGCCGACAAAGTATTATAAGCCTACGACTCAAATCGTCAAGGGAATCTTATGGCTAATTTCCTCCCCTGTAGCCCTCTCGATCAAACTCCAACCTGATTGCTCTCGAGTTGACAGGTCGTCTACATGGAGCAGAGAACAATTGTATCTAGTATTGTCCAGGGTCCGGGGTAACCAGTCACTGCACGCCAATCCGGTAGCAACATTCTTGATGACACGCTCATAGAAACAATACAGCCTTCATTTTGAAGCTTTCACAGTCCTCACACATGAGCTCCGCGAATGTTTCCTGTGTATTGTGTTGGATTTAATGCAATGGACCCGGATGAATCGCATCGTCCGTTGTTTAAAACAACCACCAAGTTGAATCCAAGTAAAGCAGTCGACCTTATCTGGAGTTGTTGAACCCTTTGCTCACCCAGACTGCCGTTCAGTCTACTCAGCCGACATCACGAGGAGGTGCTTCAGTTGGCCGGTATACCGATGGTTGGATAATTTGCGTGGAAACCTGCACTCAAATCACCATTACAAACTGATACGTTATTTGTTGTGGCTGTTTATTAGCAGTCTGAACCCCAATTTTTCATACTGGGTTCTTATTCGAGTGACGGATGACCTGAACTGCTGCAGTCTTTCACTTGTCAGTCTTTCTGTTCCGTGGACGTGATTTGTCTGCAATAGGTGTCGGAATGTTGAGCATATTTACCTTCCCTTCCTCTCGAACTAGCTTAGCATTGGCAAATGCCGGATTTCAGTATGAATCAGATAAGGTACTCTGCTTTCTATCGACTCATATCGGCCAGTCCAGAGAGATATATCGCATATCCAATTTGCTTATTAAGCTGGATAGATAGCGAGATCATTTCGCCGCGATTGTTTTCAAGTTTTTTTCAGAGCTATCAATCCAAGGTAACGTCATGATTCACCGTGGACTTCCGAATGCGTTCGTTATCGGGTTCTGGACTCATCCTGTTTTTGAGTGGTCCCTGGTTATAGGGTAGGCAGATAACCATGTCTCGTATCTAGTCATCTTCGAAACCTTCCAAACTCTAAACTTTGCTTCCCAAGTATTCTAGTTTTATCACTGAGGTTGGCGGTTCATGGGTAGCCAGAGCTCTATCTAGCTCAGTGGTTGAGACGCGAACTAGAAGGTCCGTGGCTCGACTCCATCCCCGGCATATCGACTGCTCCTGTCTGAGTTTGGATGACCTAACAGTATCTCAGCCCTTGTGCTTCCTTCAGATGGCGTAGTACCTAGGCACTGAATGTGTTACAGCTTAACGGGTCACGGTTTTACGCAGAACGGCTGATTTGTACTGTCTTGTTGGCAGCTTCGTTAGCAATGGAAAAGCACTAACCATGGTACTTACGTGGTTTTGAGTATATTCCTATCTTTCGTCTGCTTGTTATTTTGACTGCTAGTTTGTAAGTGGTGGTGTGTATTATATAATGGGATACGCCAGTTTATCTCTACCTATCCCCTAGCTGCAAAATGTCATGATGTCCCTTTTCACCTACGACGCGGATCCATTTTGGACCGTCATTCTGATTCCTGAATCACTGACCTTCAGTCGTTAATAGCTCCAGAGAGCTTTGACACGCTCACACTACTGGTGGGCGGCTACTTGTGATTGAACGGTGCAGTGTTCGACTGCTGCTTGAAAGCTTGCGAGTTCGAATCTCTAGGGTTTTACGAAGTGCTCATTGTCATTAATTCTCAATAAGGCTGAAACAACCGTACGACATTTCTTTACGTCTCTGCTGAAGCTCGCCTAGAACTCGAATCCACCCCAAAAGAAGACTCCGAATGCGACAAGATTTACTGTGCACTGTGTTGATTACTTTTCAAATCGGTAATTGATGATTGATACGCTTTTGAAAGTGCTTACTGGGTTGATGTCGTGTCTTTTTTTAATGTTTAACCATCATCCCGGAGTGGCCGAGGTGGCTCAGTGGTTAAAGTGCGAATTCACTAACCGGAAGGTCCGTGGTTCGAACCCAACCTCTTCATCTCAGCTGCTCCTGTCTAGGCTTCGGCAATCTGGTAGTGTCTCAGTCCTCGTGCTTCCTTCGCGTGGTATAGCACTTGGACACTAAAGGAGTGTCACAAGTGAACGACTATTATTATTATTATTATTATTATTATTATTATTATCCCCGAGTTCCCTCGTTTTCTTACTGCTGATAGGTATGCGCTACTCAAATCCATGCACTCCGGCGATATATATATTGTCAGTGGTCAATTCTCACAGCAGTTGTCCTCAATGCTACCTGGAGCTGATCTCAAACAAATAGAAGAACTTCCAGGTAAGTTTGGTTTACTCCCGCCCTTAATTTCACCCACTGTTAGGTCCAGAACTCTTGCGCACATGTCGCTATCTTCATCCCATTCGATCGATTACCAGCAATAGCGAAGATAACTTGTGTCCATTCCTACCTGGGACATATGTGTCAGAGACGAAAGGCACCGGTCTTGTGCACTGTGCTCCCTGTCACGGAAAGGAGGACTTTCTTCTTGGTCAGTCATTCCATCTCCCTATGGTTAGTATCTCTGTTTGTGATCTGTCGTGCTTGAAGCTAATAATTCCGACGCCCGAGTAGTTAGTCATTATATGTAATGAATTTTCTGACCTCGACCTCGTAAAAGGTCGCAATTACTTTACCGTATTCTGATATACCGCAACTCTCACTAGCTTCCGCCCATCACAAGTGAGCGTTTTCACGTCACATTTGCCCGTGCTTTTGCTCTCGATATTTTTATCGACTTTTCTGCGCCTGGAACAGTATTCAATTCAGCTGTATCCTGTTGAAAATCACCGGCAATTTCTGGTCTTTTATTAAAATTCAATAAAATGTCTACGCTGAATGACATAGAAACGGAAATCGATCGGCTCGATCAAGTGAAGTTGGTATGCCTTGGAAAGCCATACCATTATTTAAGCCCACGGTGAACGAATCTGTCATTTTTGCCAATTTTTGGCCTCATAATACTTGGCTCTGATATATCGCTCCCAGCTGGAGTTGGAAGATATGGGTCTAATGCTGGCGAATCGGTGAACGTCAGCAGTGGGTGAAACACCTTATCTAGTTAAACCACTGGGTTTTTGACCAGGAGAGAATTTGTCGAGTGCCGTTTTCAAGGATGCAGGGGAACGTTTGTGGAAACGACCTCAAAGCTCGCAGAAGGTATCAACCAAACCACAATGAGACCGAAATGAGTGTAGTTGTGCCACCATCGAGAATACTCATTATTGTCACAAGTCAAGTCCATGGGAACTGAGTCCCTTTGCCAGTTCTTTGCCTTGTAGAATAGTCGGATCAACCTGGTCACGACGAAAATCGACCGTTGATTCTCTTCTCAGACGTGTGTGGTCTGTTTCTCCACTGCTTAACACTATCCGTAATGTTTTTTAAACACGTCGCCTGTTCTCGGACTTCCGGTATTACGATAATGTCATTTTCCTTTGTTTTAAATTTACTGTTCGGCTTTATCACCTACTCGTTATCCTTAAGTAATCTGATTCTTAGTGAGTCTGGTTTAACTTCGAGTTATTTTCCAAATGCTTTGACGATCAGTTAGTTGAGTGATATGTAATTTGACGAATTAACGGGGAGGATATTGGTCGTCATGTACCATGAATGCTGTCGCCTATGCATTTCATCACGTAGAGTGTTTTTTTTTCAGAACCAGCTCGTGGACGACGAGGGCTGTTTTATCCCCGAAGCTGGATGTGAGCTTGCTGGTCTCCGTTTGGATGACGAAGGGACGGCTAAAAGTGAGTCGATGTCACAACTTTTCGGAGGACTCATCCGTTTCGAATGCAGCCTCCATGGCATAATCACTTCAGTCTTGAAAGTATAATTGGTCTTCTGGATTACAAGTGTCACTTTTTCGTGGATGAGGGATGTAAATTTAATCAACCAATTAATTAATTAAAATTTCCGACCAATAACCAGAAGCCAGATGATTGACTGAACTCGCCAGCAGATTGCTAATTCAAAAACTTTACCATACTTAAAGTCAAATCCAAAAGCTGCACAAACTGCTCGGCGGACAGGTGGTCTGGAGGTAACAGCCTCAAACTGTTGGTCGAAGGGTCATGTTTCCGGTCCCATTACGCCCATCTGACCAGTTCTAATGAGGATGAAAGCGTCCACACGGTTGATCTTTCTGCCTTAGATTGTCTTCCTTCTGCCTTGGAAAAACCAAGCCGTATACTTGGTGTTTTTTGCAAACACATGGAGACCGGGCGAAATGATGCGAAATGTGTTTTCTTGATCGGACTGATTCACACCACTTTACCCACAGCTATTCTACTTTCGAACAAGTTCTGCTTCTGAACTGACAGATATGGTCTATTTTTATCACCTCGGGCCCAAAACACTACTTCATGGGCACGCTTTCTTTTTTCTCTTCCCTCTAAAACAGTTCTGGAGCTAGTGCGTCCAATGTTGGTGCACCAAGGCACTATCAAACACAGCTATCCATATGACTGGCGTACTAAAACACCAGTGATCACTCGACTTTCTGAGCAGTGGTTTTTGGATACGTCAGCGTTATCGACTGCAGCCATTGTAAGTAATCGTGTGTTACTATCGTTGTGTTTTTGGGCATTGAGCTACCGTATCATTATGCTGAGTTTGACTGATAACACTGCGTAAGCTCGCCGCTGCGCTGTTATCCTCCTAATCAGAAGCTCATTAATTATGCTTGATTTCCATTCACAATTTCAAAGACTTATCAGATTCATTTTAGAGGTGAACCGGGCTTCCCAAAACCGATTGATGTCCATAGCTTTAGAAATCAAATCTTCAGTACAGGTATTTAGGACAGGGTCCTTCAAGTCAACCCGAGCAAAAGTGTAAACGACGGCGGACTAGTGAAAGTTATCGTTGTTGACTCCACCCCCCGGTGACATTTCATCCCGCAAATATAATCTTATCTGTAGAAGAAAGGTGCCTTGTTCCCAAAAAACTTAGACATAAGGAGTCTTACTGTCCTGTTTGGATCCACTAACTGAGTGTAGAGAAATCGGACCTGTGACCCTTTGACAAGTAGCTTCAAACTGTAGCCGGACAATCACGCTCGCTTCGCATGTTCGGGGTTCAAATCCGGGCACGGCCATTGGATACGCACTGCTGATGGGCTCCAATAAGAGCGAAACTCGAGTCCAGTGCTTCCCTTTGGTGTGGACTCACCGGAATAAGTACGCCAAAACAGGAAGCGACCGTTCAAATGAGAGTGGTGTGACTATGAACAAAATACCTGTCCCGCAAAACTCCAAAACTGCAACCATTCCTTTTTACTTATCACATCCTGCGATAGAATACGATGTCATGATAATCATCAGTGATCAGGTTGCCCGCACATGACAATAGTCGGTGGGGCCAAGATCCATCCCTACTCAACTCTTCTGCCTTACACCGACAAAAATCAAAGTCGCCTGGTCGACCATATAAGCGTCATCACTAACGCTAGACATCTTGATACTCATGTTATGTTTAACCGTGTTCACGCATTTTGTGGTGCGGACGCGAATAACAAAGCACTTTGACTGGCCAGTCGTTGGTGCATCTTCAGTGCTTTTAATCTTGTTCACTTTTTTTGTCCCAGGAGGCATACAACTCTGTGGATGTTATACCACCGAAACACAAGCCCTCAATGCTTCCGTTTATTTCATCTCGTCCGAGGTGGTGCATATCGCGACAACGTTCGTGGGGAGTCCCTATTCCCGTGCTGCTACGGAAAGAGGACGGAAAACCTATCGTTGATCAGTACGTAGCCTATGTTTTGTTGCTCTGGTTTTTCTACCTGTCTTGAATGTGTACACCATCGTCAGCCTCCGGTATGTGCCTAATCGCTTTGGACCTTTTGGCGACATGTCTAAGACTGCCCCTACCTGGCCTGACATCATAACCAATGACGTAAACGACACCTACGAAAGAATCAGTTGTAGCTTTCAGGGCTCAGCTGCCATTCGACCCGAAAAAAGCCTGAGATTCTACAAGACTAGGCAGGAGCAGTCGAGTTGCCCATGTAGCGGGTTCGAACGGCGGATATTCCGGTCAGTAAATCCGCACCTTAACGGCTGAGCTATCTCGAGCAAGATGCTTACTCGAAATCTGCTAGGGCAGTGACCGTGCGTGCACCTCAGGGTGTTAACACGCTCCTGCGGTGGACTCTTTCAGTGTGCGCAGTCCTGGGAGTTACGCGAAGTGATAACCTAGTCAATTTACGTACCCCCAGAGGGAATGCACTCTTTAGTTGAGGCTCTCCAGCAGCATTCTAAAGGGACGGAGAACAGCACTCGTCCCGATAGACGGTGTTTCGGAATTCGTAGAACATGGCCGAGCCATTGTAGTCGATGGTGCTGGATGTTTTCCCCGATTGAAGTGCCTGCCGCACAACCAACTACCGTTTTCTAACCACCTCGTTATTAATCCGTTGACACCGTCCAAAAACAGCAACGTTTCTGAAGCATCAGTGATAAAAAATCTGAATCCAACTCACATCATTTGTCCGCAGGGGCCATGCGTCGCAACCATACACACAGCCCTTATTGTAGCCTAGTACACGCGACCCTTAAGACTCAGTGATATACCTTTTTGACGCCTTAAGTGACGCAAATTATCAAACGTGATTCTGGCTTTCGGGATTCGTGCAGTGACTTCATCAGATACATTTTCGTCAGAGCTAATACAAATACCGAGGTATATGGAATTCCTCACAACCGCCAGTGATTCCTCTTGAATTGTAATGGGTATGTTCAGAGACTGTACGTTCTGTAGGCCAAGGACAGAGGATGTTCAACACGCAAGTAAAGAGGTTGCCCCCCACCCCGTTTGCAAACAACTTCTTCCAGGCCTATTCATCCAAGTAGAAGGCTCTTGTCATCCGCCAGAATAATGGTGTCTCTCCTTGCTGACCGGAGTAGTCGTGACAAAAATAATAATAATATAATGATAATCGTTCAGTTCTAACACCCTTCTGGTGCCTAACTGCCATGCCACCCGAAGGAAGCACGAGGGCTGGGATACTGCCAGGTTGCCCAAACCTAGACACGGGAAGTCGAGAGGCAGAGGTCCGGTTCGAACCACGGATCTTCTGGTCGGTAAATTCGCGCTCTAACTACTTGGGCCATCTCGTAGTCATGTCCGGGTTCAATGCAATCCATCTTTCCCAGTTTTTCAGTCTGTCGGAGCATACGCTGACACGATAAATAGACACCATTAACTTCGGCACAAAGGCTGAGATTCAGTTGCGTAGGGCGTTTTCAGCCCATGACTGAGTGCAACTCCCACCTCGTAGATACCAAGAGCCATCGCACCAGGATCACCAGATATCCGAGTGTGAAAAACATGAGCTCGTCCCGAGTTGTTTGAAGTGCATGACGAAATTAGGGTCTTGTATGCGTGTTTTTGAGGCACGACGTACATCGATAAAAAGGAAAGTAAAGACCCAGCAAGAGGTGCTTGTTGCTCAGTTCGACAGAGAGTACTTACTTGAAAGGCTGCAACGTGGGTCAGATCTTTTGAATTCGGTGACAGTGTTGTCATTTGTTTTACTGGACATTAGTTTAGACACTGAGCAATAGTTAGGAGACTGGCTGATGAATTGATCGCAGCGGATCGCTTGAAAGGTGGGGAGAGGGTGCAGATTAGGACCGATGAACTAAAAGTTGCAAGGGTAAATGATGCTTTCCTGTTTCCGATGTCGAGATGTCCTTTTTGAAGTGTCCACCTTGAACCTTCGACTCAGAACTTCGACCTCCCCGGAAGTTTGTAAACATAATACGTTCTTTGTATTCTCAGACTTCCGGACGTGTGAGAGTGTAGGGAGAGCTTTCCAAAAGCTTCCGCACACAAAGTGGTGTCCGTCAGGGATGCCCACTCCTTCCATTCCTTTTTAACTTTGTGATCGATGAAATAATGAGACGAACGCTGGAGGGTCTCCAAAACCCTGGTGTTCAAATAGCCTGTGAAGAAAACCTTGTCGATCTGGAATATGCAAACGACATCGTTCTCATGTTCGAAG